TAGTCGTCCTTGTCGTGTCTTCTTTTCGCATCTTGCGATCTGACATCAATAATTTAGCGCCCCAACGATCGACCATCGAATAAAGCAAACGACAAAGCAAGTTCAATCGCTATAGAGGTTGTGGGGAAAACGGTTAAAGCACACAGATCGTGCATCAAAGGGGTTCTTGCAGTGCTCACATATAGTCAGTGACGCGTTTCGATTACAACCAACAAGAAACTGCATTACAAGAGACACGTCGTGCCAACAAATCGATGGATTATGCTGGACGAGGAGTCGAGACCCACCAAGAATAAATGAATTGGCTAACGACCTAGCTTTAGCTTCGTGCCTTGTCACTTGACCGCCTGTGGATTTGATGCCACTATAACTAACAATTCTAGTATCATTATTCTACCTTTTCTTCAGATACCATCATCACTTTCTTTGCTTACTTTTTTCCCTCTTTTTTCAATTTCAATGTGATAATTATGTGCTGTACAATAATTATAATTAAGATTTATTATGTCAAAATGGTGTTTAGGCCCAAACTTGGCATGTAATATACGCTATAACCACCATGCAGAAAATTTTTGAGTGTGTCAAGCTGGTAGAAATTAAAACAGAGGTACCACCATTCCAAGTAAACGACTACAACGTGCAAGAAGTTAAGCCTCTCACTGTGGGAACTCACACTGAGAAATTTAGATCAGCATCTCAACTTTTTTAGGGACAGATTATTGTACCTCGATTATGTGCAGCGACACAGTACCAAAATTGAACAGCAGCAGCGCCAATCAAGTACGGATTCTAACCTAACTTGTGGGGTAAACGATTTACACCCAGAGAAATGTTTTATTTGAATTAAATAAAATATATTTGACTTAAATAAAAATGGATATTTGTCTCAGAGCCTACTAAAGTTTTCTTTGTCTCAAATAAATTTTTATATTTAAATTTGAGACAAATAAATTTTTATTTGCTACAAATATATTTTATATTTAGGACAAATAAATAAAAAGTTTTGAATGTAATAAATTTAATTGCAAAATTGCCCGGTATTCAGCCAAATATTCTGGAATTGATATAATTAAAATTTATGATTCAAATTGAAAATCTTAAATTTTTACATTTCGTGGTTATTTTTTTGTATGTTCCGTGGATATTGTTGAAACATAACAATTTCCATTTCTTTGTGTCAATGATAAGTTGATTTGAATTCTGCTTCACATTTGAGACACAACAGGGAGAAAGGCACTCAAAATAAAAGGAAAGTGTGATTTAATTAATAAACACTCGCGAATAAAAACATTTCTTTAATTATCCAGAAATTAGTATTTGTTTTAATCAAATAATAATCAATCCTTGTACAAACAACTGCTTGGTCGCGTTAATCTGTCACCTCGTTTTCACTACGTCCGACATCTTTAAAGTTATATCGTATACAGTATTCTGCGCATGCTTGCGTTGAACTCGAATAAACTTTTATTTCAATTAAATATATTATTTATTTGACACAAATGTACCTTTTTAAAAAGTACTAATAAAATTGTTTATTTGTAAGAAACATATACGACAATTTCAAACAAACATTTATTTATTTAATTTAAATAAAATATTTATTTGAAATAAATAAAAATGATTTAAATATACGTTTTTATTCAAAACTAATAAATTTTTTCTCTAGGTGTAGTTAAGTACAGTATCTGTCCACCAAAAAGCTTATCATTTGTAAAAATAATTCTTTTTTGCATTCTAGAATCAGTCAAAATTTCGTTTTTAAATATTATTGCTCCCTACGCCATCAGAATAATTATTTGCTAAGCTTACAATAATGCAAGGGATTATAAGGATAAAATTGAGTCAGGTTATTAAAATGAAAAAGTTCAAAATTTTGTTAAAAATGACATATTAAAACTTATCCCTGTAAAAAATTAAAAGTTATCCAGATAAAGGTTTTGAATCACTTATTCATTCGAAAACAAGAAAATAAAATGCTTTGTTCTTTAGGATAAGTGATGATTAGCAAGAAATACACTAGTGAAAAATTTTTTGAGTTAAAATAATGAAAAAAAATAAATGTCGATAAATTAAATATGAGCACTTTTTACGAAAACCGTATAAAGGCATTTTCTCGGAAATAACAAACAAGAATACCTATAATTTTATGTTTTTAGTACACTCTAAAAAAATAATGTTAAATTTGAACTCCTAACTATGGACTCTTCTTTAGAGTTGATCTAATGTTAACATTTCTTTTGGAATTGATATTTAACTTAAAAAAATTTACTCCCATGTCTGGTTAACCATTACCTTCCTAAATTTCTTACAGTGTACACGGAAAAACTTTGTGCAAGAATTATTCCTAAATTTGTTCAGGAACTGAGGATATGAGAATAATTTAAGAAATCTTATTTATATTTTCTTTGAAAAATTCTAAGCAGTATTTCTATAAGAATTGTAGAGAAATTCAAGACAACTTCCTAAACTCACTACAGAAAGTCTTGAACTCGTTTTAGAATAAATTTTTACGTTTGCAAAAAAAAAATTTATTCTGGGAGGACTCGATCCCACGTCCTCGAGAGTCCAAAAACTCCGCTTTACATCTCTCAGCTACCTTAGCAGCTTATGGTATTATGCATTGGAAACGTATTTGACGCAACCAATCCCTGCCTAGTGCTTGGTTACTGTACTGTGTCTTCTAAATCAGTTCAAGAAACTTTCAACGCCCAGTGACTGAGATATTCCAATCGCGGCATTAACAAGAAGTCTTCCAATGTCATAATAAACATACAAGTATTTTCTTGAATGATTTTTGTATTTTTCTGTAAATTTTGCAGATTTTTTCTCATATCCTCCATTCCGAAACAAATTCAGGAATGATTCTTAAACAAAGTTTTTCCGTGTATGTATAATTTTTTAATTTTATTACTTATTTAATTTTAAAAATTTCTTAAAAAGGTAAGTTTAGTTATTTATTTCCATATATAATAATTGCATGTATTATAATTTTGAAGTTAAATAATTTTTGAGAATAAATAAAAGCAAAAATGGAAAACTCAAGAATTATATTGAATACTAATAAATTTACAGTGAAACGTATACTATTATACTGTAATGAGTCTAGTTCGTACAGCAATTAATTTCTATGACAACGTTTCATAGCTCAGTCTTATTTGTTTTTTTTTTTCTTTTTTTTTTTTGCTTAGAGACTATTGGGAAATCTGTATACAGATACCTTGGCTTCCGCATGCCAAGGTTATGTGGGGTTGGTAAGAAAAAAAGGACACCACTAAACAAAATAAGCTGGCGAACTACTACCAGCCCCGACCCACTAAAAACCCGTCAACCCTTCTTGGGAGCCCTTTTATCCACCCTCGGTTTAGGACTAAGTCCAAAACTTCTTACCTTTGAGTATAAGTAACATATATAATTCAGTCATAGTTGACTATATACTGAGTGCAAAAAGTTTTGTACATGTTTTCTGAAAGTTATCAAGGAAATGAATTGCTTGCTAACTACACCGAGTTCTAGGTTTTGAAATCTAATATTTTTCAGTGTTCAAGTTTATAAAAATTATCATTTAAATTAATTTAAATTAATTTAAACGTGGTAACAATCCAGTCCATATCTGGAAATCTGGATTTTCAATGAAACGCTTTTTCTGATCAGGTCCCGAAGAGATATTTTCAAAATAAGGGCAAAATCAGGTTGAGATCAGGGCCTTACTTAGCTTCAAATAGATTAATCTGTCTGCGGTTTAAATTTATTTGCAATTTGCGTTATGATGTATACGAAATAAAGGTTAATTTTGATACAATAATAAACTAAAGAAGTAAATGATTTTCTAATTATAAACGTATATCCTTTGAATAAAATTTTTAGTGCATTTATATCACGTGGAAAATATTTTTTATTTACAATTTACAATAAAATTGTTTATAATAATTACTTTTTTTAATATAAAAGAGAAAAGTGGCAAATTGCTTTTTCAATCAAAAGAATATAATTTTTGTGAAATCGTTAGTGCGTTTATCTCATGTAAAAACTTTTTTTTATTTACAACATATTATTTTCGAAAAAATGTTTGTGCATCTATCTCATTTAAAAAACTTTTTTATTCACAACATAAATAAATTGTTAATTAAATATAAAATGCAAGAATATAAATAATGATTCCAATTATTCCATAATGTCAATAATAAATTACACGCAGTAAAAACCTGGGCTCATTTTTGCTGCTGTTCAAAATGAGCCAACGCTAAACGACACACGGAGAGAAATAGATGGTAAGAACTTATAATCTAAAGATGGTAAAAAGTAGATGTTATCCGGTACCATCTTTATGCTACTCGGTACTATCAAAGATGTTACAAAAAATATAGTTATGTTACCCACTAGAATCAAGATGTTACTCTGTACAATCTAGAGAGTAACAGATAGAATCTAGATAGTTATCCGTATATGTAAGATCAAATATGGTACCTGGTACTATCTAGATAGTACCCCGTACCATCTATTTCTCTCCGCACTGAAAAAAAAATTTATTTGATTCAAATACCGGTGTATTTGGTTATTATCAAATAAATATTTACTTGAATCAAATATATAATATTTGAATCAAGTAAATATTTATCTGATAATAACCAAATAACTGAAAAAAAAATTTATTTCATTCAAATACCGGTATATTTGGTTATTATCAAATAAATATTTACTTGATTCAAATATTATATATTTGATTCAAGTTCATATTTATTTGATAATAACCAAATATACCGGTATTTGAATCAAATAAATTTTTTTTTCAGTGCGTGCATAGAACGTGGTAACCTGAAACCTGACCAAACCTGATCAGGACCTGAAACCTGGCTGTGATCAGTCAATCCTGATCAGGACCAAGCCACAAATAGATTTTTGTTAAGGCAATCTCTAAACGGAAAGCCTCAAGGGATATATGGATGAAAGAGTCTATATATATAGTGAAATATGTAATTTTTAATTATTTAAATCTGTTACAGTAAACAAAAATGGATGAATATAAAACTCGTGGTAGAAATAGCAGACGAGAGGATTATAGTAGTGAGTACGATGAAGGAAATTATCAAGAAAGAGGTGACGCCAATTTTGCAAATCTGTCACGTATGGACAGCATTCAAGATCCTGGTAAAAGATTTATTCTTAAGGAGTGTATAGGTTCAGGAGTCTGTGGCGATGTATATGAAGCTATTGATGAAAACAGTGGTAGGTGTATATACATATATATAAGAATGCTAAATGTAGCTTTTTAGAATTGCATTGCCTACCTGTTTTGCACTTTTCTAATGCATCAATACAATGTATAAATAATTAATATCAATAATAAAATTAATGGCCATACGAGCTTGGAAGTATCAATTTTTTATATTTCTTTAGTTAAGTCATTTTTAATACATAAGTTTATGTTTCGAAAATTTAACGTCAAAATCACTGTCAGCAACCTTAAATGTCTCTATAAAATTTTTCAAAGCTTGCATAATTATTTTTATAAAGAGGGGGTCTCACCATATAACAAAGAATGTCCTAAGATGTATATATTTGTACTTTTATAGGAAATAAAAAAGTCGCTATAAAAATTCGGAAACTAGTCCCAGAAACTCAAAATCATATTATGGAAGAGTACAAAGTTTTACGGGAATTTTCATCACATCCGAATCTTCCAAACTTTTATGGAATTTATCGCAAGAGAACAGGAAAGAAGTCCGAAAATGATCAAATATGGTTTATCATGGAAGTAAGTGACGTATCAGCGATTTCTATATGTATATGTACCCACACTTATAGAAAAAAGTATTCTTAATTTAAATATACCCACATAGCACAACATATTGGAGTAAGGTTAAGGTATGCGTTAAACGTATAGTAAACATCGTAAGCCTATAGTACGCTACGGCTACGGTCAAACCTCGGTAGGTAGCGAGGCTACCTGTCTATCCTGTAATATAACGTATAAGAGTGAGAGGAATAAAAAATGTTCTTGTTTCTCTCACTCTTATACGTTATATTACAGGATACCCTGTTGAAAATTCCGACCTCGTTTACGACGTCGTATTCTAAGTAGTTTGCGACGTAGTAAACGACGTAGTAAACGAAGTAGTAAACGACGTCGTAAATGAAAGCGGAATTTGGGATAGCAAACTACGTCGTTTACTACGTCGTTTACTACGTCGTTTACGATGTCGTTTACTACGTCGTTTACGATGTCGTTTACTACGTCGTTTACTACGTCGTTTACGATGTTGCAAAAATTATTTTAATATTATTTATTTAGTAATTTAGTAAGTCCAATATCCAATATTAAAAATTTTAATAATAATTTAAAAAATCAATAATTTAAAAAAAAATTTATTTTTATTATTTTTTTATAGTTATTATTATTATTTTATTTTTAATATTTAAATTAAAATAAAAAAATGGTCATCAAAATATTAGTGAAACCATTTCTTCCAAAAAAGAATTTGTCTCAAATCCAATAAAGGAGAGACATCGGGCAGAAAAAAATTTCGACAAAAAAAAAATTTTCGATCACTGCTTATATACCAATCTAAAGGCACCTCAACTGCGAGAAACAGTTATGATGTTCGCCCTCCCTGTGGCGTTGAGCGAACTTAAGTCCAGAGCTGAGCCATCAGCGCAGCGCGGAAACATTTGAAAAATTTGATTTAATTAGATATTTTATTTTATTTTAAATATGACAAATAATTAACTTAATAAATAATTAATGTCATAAATAATTATTAATAACATAATGTCATACTTAATAATTCGTTAATTAATTATTTTTAACGAAAATTTGACAAAAACAAAATTTGTTGGCCAAAAAAAATATTACCATTAAAAAATAATTTTTTTGTTAAAATTTCGTAGTAAAAAAAATTTTTTCAAGACAATTATTTGTGACCTAAAAAAATATCACGATGAGAATATAATTAACAAAAAAAATTACTCGTAGCACAGAAAAAATTTCACCATGAGAAAATAATTTTTTTTAAATTTTATTTGTAAAAAATTTATTGGTAGCTCAAAAAAAATATCACGATGAGAAAATAATTTTTTGTCAAATTTTCTCTGTAAATAAATTAATTAACTAAATAACGTACCGTAAAACGGGGTTATTTCGCTCATTGCGGGTAAATTCGCTCACCCACTTTTATGCTTTATTTCAGCTTTAAAATAAAGTTTAATACCTTTATTAGCAGGTTAAATTTTCGTAGTAAAAAAATTAATGAACTAATTATTAAGCTAACTAGCAAAACTAACGCGCGCAAGCGCGCCAAATTGAGGATTTAATTATTTGTTATAAAGAAATTAAAGATTAATATTATTAATAATAATTTAATTTATTAGAATATTATAACATATTAAATGATAATAATGAAAATTATATGTTTACAGGCCTCGGATTATACGACTTTTTCCGACTTTTTTCAAAAATACGACTTTTATCAACTTATTTTAATAAAATGCGACTTGTTTTTTACATTTGAAAAGAAAATGTAAATAAAATACATTTTTTTTGGTATAAAATGTAGATCTTCTTCAGATCTTCTTCAATTCAATTATTTAACAAATTTTGAACTAAAATGATTCTTCACTAAATTAATTATTTTTAATAATTTTAATGAAATACATCACAAATTCAATTATATCAAAATTATTTTTCAATTAAAATTTTTATGAAATTTAACAATTGTTTATAATTTAAAAAAAATATCACAATAAAATTGAATTATTTTTTAAAAATTTCAATTCAAGATAAACTAAAATTCAATTATTACCCGAAATTTTAATTCAAAATCAATTAAAATTCAATAATTATCCAAAATTTTCAATTTAAAATTTAATTATTTACCAAGTTTTCAATTTAAAATGAAATAAAATTCAATTATTTTCTAAAATTTCTATTCAAAATTAATTATCCAAATTTTCAATCAAAAATGAACTTAAATTAAATTATTATAAAAAATTTCAAGTAAAATTCAAGTATTTCCCAAAATTTTTAATTCAAAATTAATTGAATTTTCAATAATTTGAATTTAAAAGCATCTAAAATTTCTAAAATTTTCCATCGAAATTTTTTTTTTTTGAAATTTAATAATTTCAATTATAACTCTAAGGAAATTCAATTATTTTTAACTATTTTAATAATATTCTTTGAAAATTCAACTATGTGAAACCATTTTTCAATTAAAAATGATTTTCAAATTATTGTATTTTGTCCGCATTTTCTAATAAATTTTTAGTGAAATCATCTAAAATTTTAATTACAAAACACTTAAAGTTTCAATTAATTTCAAAAATCTCAATTTTAAATCTTTGAAAATTCAATTAAATTTAAAAAATGTTTTCCAAAAATTGTTTGATAAATTATTTTTAGATCTGTAAAATTTAATAATTGTTTGAAAATTAACTATATCTTTTGAAATTTAATTATTTCTAAAAATTTCAACTTTAACCCTTCGAAAAGGATTATTATTAAAAAAAAATTTTTATTTAAAAATCTGTAAAATATTTTTGTTAAAATGAAAAACAAATCCACTTTTTTTTGGAATATAAATCGACTAAAACGACTGTTTTGTGTCTTTAAGTTGATTCGAGGCCTGTGTTTTTATAATTAATATTTAATAGGTAATCGTTGGCCCCTGGTACCTTAAAAATAAATTTTTTTCAAATTACTATCTTGTACGAAATTTCCTGGCGCATCTTTTTTCTCATTATAAATTTTTTGTATTTGTATACAATTTTTGAATCAATATACAACTTTAAAAAAATTTTCGTTGGTAAACGTTGTGTACTTCAGCTTCGTGAATTGAATTTTCGAATTTGGAATTTTAAAGAAACTTATTCCGAAATTTGGAAACACAATTATACAACTTTGGCAAAAATGAGAAAAAGAATTGTCAAAATTTGACACGTCATAAGATTACTATATTCAAAAAAATACGTGAAATCAGAAAAGGCCAACTTCAAGTTAGGACAGAAAGACAGACCAAACATTTTATTATTATATAATTATTTAATTAATTTTTTTTACAGAGAAATTTTGACAAATAAAATTATTTTCTCATCGTGATATTTTATTTGGGCCACAAATAATTTTTTTATTGAGAAAATTTTAAAATAAGTAAATTTCTCATCGTAATATTTTTTTGTGCTACGTATAATTTTTTTGTTAAATTTTTTTACAGAGAAATTTTTACAACAAAATTATTTTTCATCGTGATTTTTTTTAAAAACACGAATTTTTTTTTTCAAAGAAAATTTGAAAAAAAATTATTATTTTATCATTGTGATATTCTTTTGTGCTACGAATAAATTTTTGGTAAATTTTCGTAGTAAAAAAAATCAACGATTTATTACGGTATTTAGTGAATTAATTGTTTTTAAGAGAAAATTTGACAAAAAAGTTATTTTCTTATCGTGATATAATTTTTTTAGGCCACAAAATATTTTTTTTACAGAGAAAATTTAAAGATAATTAAATTTCTCATCTTGATATTATTTTTGTTCTACAAATATTTTTTTGTTACATTTTCGTAGTAAAAAATTAAGTAACTATAATAATTACCGTAAAACAGGGTTATTTCGCTCAGTGCGGGTAAAGTCGCTCACCCATTTTTTTGCTTTAAATTTGATTAAAAACTAAAATTTAGTATTTCTATTAACAAATTTAACATTTTTACCTGCTAATAAAGGTATTAAACTTTATTTTAAAGCTGAAATAAAGCATAAAAGTGGGTGAGCGAATTTACCCGCAATGAGCGAAATAACCCCGTTTTACGGTACGTTATTTAGTTAATTAATTTATTTACAGAGAAAATTTGACAAAAAATTATTTTCTCATCGTGATATTTTTTTTGAGCTACCAATAAATTTTTTACAAATAAAATTTAAAAAAAATTATTTTCTCATGGTGAAATTTTTTCTGTGCTACGAGTAATTTTTTTTGTTAATTATATTCTCATCGTGATATTTTTTTAGGTCACAAATAATTGTCTTGAAAAAATTTTTTTTACTACGAAATTTTAACAAAAAAATTATTTTTTAATGGTAATATTTTTTTTGGCCAACAAATTTTGTTTTTGTCAAATTTTCGTTAAAAATAATTAATTAACGAATTATTAAGTATGACATTATGTTATTAATAATTATTTATGACATTAATTATTTATTAAGTTAATTATTTGTCATATTTAAAATAAAATAAAATATCTAATAAAATCAAATTTTTCAAATGTTTCCGCGCTGCGCTGATGGCTCAGCTCTGGACTTAAGTTCGCTCAACGCCACAGGGAGGGCGAACATCATAACTGTTTCTCGCAGTTGAGGTGCCTTTAGATTGGTATATAAGCAGTGATCGAAAAATTTTTTTTTGTCGAAATTTTTTTCTGCCCGATGTCTCTCCTTTATTGGATTTGAGACAAATTCTTTTTTGGAAGAAATGGTTTCACTAATATTTTGATGACCATTTTTTTATTTTAATTTAAATATTAAAAGTAAAATAATAATAATAACTATAAAAAAATAATAAAAATAAATTTTTTTTTAAATTATTGATTTTTTAAATTATTATTAAAATTTTTAATATTGGATATTGGACTTACTAAATTACTAAATAAATAATATTAAAATAATTTTTGCAACATCGTAAACGACGTAGTAAACGACGTAGTAAACGACGTAGTAAACGACGTAGTAAACGACATCGTAAACGACGTAGTAAACGACGTAGTA